ACCAGACACTATGGGCTAACAACAACAACAAAAAAAGTCCAATGCCAAGAATGGGTTCTCACTTTTAAAGTTGTTTCTATAGACCCTCAGAAAATACTGGCTGTTGTCATTCCTCTTGTTTGCCCTCCAGAACTTGACAGTGAAATGTCATGGATGAAGGTGTTACATAGGTGTCATAGAATAGACATGGAGAAATCAGCTGGTATTGACCTCAAAACTTAAACCCTACAGTCTAACTCTCACAGTATTAGAAAGTGCTATTCATGCTCCTAGAAGAAAAAAATTATCACTCTTACCCAGCTGTAAACCCTGCAGGCTACAAGAATGACTGGCCTGGCAAAATATGCCCACTGGTACAATAGTGGCACAAATGTTATGGGAACAACCCACCACTTTCTGATTCAATTCAAGGTCCACTTCACAAGAGTGAGCCCATACCTGGAATTGTTATCAGGGCCAATAACCTGTGGCTAGAGTGGCAACAGGCCATAAGACAGAATTTACTGCTATTATTCTACTAAATGGTCATGGCATTAAACCAACACCTAATGACTTATTGTTATGCCCATAGAATAGTACATCTCTCATAACTCACCAGAGAAGCTTCTTTAGAAATTTATACAGAAATTCACAACTGGTCAACATGCAGAAAATAAGAGACTGCAGGTTGCTCAACCCTAAATGGAACACCTCTATCACACCCTCTCCTCCTAAGGCTCAGGGATCATTGCAGAAGAAAGGGTGGAAATATTGTAGGAGCCAGAGGTAATGGATGAACACAGGGAAACAATGTTGTCTGGGTACCACAGAGCTTGTGACAGTGTGAACAAGACCCATGCAAGACTAAGCCAGACAAAATCCCAGCATGGCTGGGGGAGGTAGACAAGAAGCCTCAGGCCTAACTGAGGAACTATTGGCAACTGATAGCTGCTGAGAGAGGGAGACTCCATTTTTTAAAGGGTGTGATGCCAAGTAGATTGATCAGCCTCTGGGGAATGGACCCACATCCAAGAACATTTGGAGACACAAATTAGACTCAGTATACCTCAAAATATAGAGGACATGAATCGGAGGTTAAGAAGTTTGGGCTGGATCTGAGAAGAGAGAGAGGAGGAGGGTCTGAATATGATCAAAGCACATCTTATGTAATTCTCAAAAAATCAATAAAAATATTTAAAGAAAAATTGTATTAAATTCAAAGTAGTGTGTGTGTGTGTGTGTGTGTGTGTGTGTGTGTGTGTGTGTGTGTGTGGTGTGATCACAGTCCAGCTTCTGGCCTTCTTGTGGTACCACTGTGACAGTTACTATTATGATCTGAAACTGAGATACCTTTCACGGGCTTGTGTTACAAATATTTGTTCCTGGCTTATGGTACTTATAGAGAGGAGGGAACTCTGGAGGTTTTGGGAGATAGGTTAGTAGAAATAGGTCATTAGGGGTGAGGATAATCATTGATCCAGCCCTAGCTCTGGCTACTTCTGCTTCATGACCCACCAGGATGTGAACAGTCACTACCATATCCTCCTACTGCCAGGAAATGGGCCACTCCACTGTGCCTTCTCCACTGTGAGCTACAGTCTTCTGAAACTATGAGCCCAAATAAAAGCCCTTCCTTTCATACGTTGACTCTGTGAGATGGTAGTTGCAACAATGCAAAATAACTAATCCAGTTACCACAATCATGAGTACCATTTGTCCTGAGCCACTGATTTCCTGAGGCAGCTTTGGATGTTATTTTTCTCTGAAGGTCAAGTTTCCTAATTTCTCTCAATGAAGATAATGACACTACCTGCTTGCTAAGATTGTTCTATTCATTCAATTAGAAAGGACAGAGGGACACTGGTATATAATAATTATCAAATATTAGTGGATACAGTAATCAAAGAAATAAGCAAGTTTGAATGACGTGCAGAATAGGTAGAAAAATGCCTGTGTCCTACTGAGTACTTTCCTAACACTATCATTGTGCTTGGCAAATTAAAGGCTAGGAGACAGATCCAGTCCAACATTTCCTTCTGCACATACTTTATTAGAATTATGTAAATATTTATTGTTTGTTTTCCCAGAAATATTGAAATATGTTTTCAAGAACTTGTATCAAATTCAAAATCAAGGGTTACATTTCTCTCACTGTTCACAGGACTATGTTAGCTAATGTGTCAAAATGCATTACCTAAAGTTGAGCTTGCCACAATTCCAATTTCATTTGCGATGGTCTTATGATGAAACACTGTACTGATGTCAGTTTTTGCCTTGAAGACATATGCTTAACATATTCAAATGAGTGTGGTTAAATCCACTAAAAATGCTAAATCTGTAAGTCATTTTGTATTGTCAAGTTCTGGCACAAATAATGGCATGATGAGGTGATAAACATGTTGAGAATCATAATGCTTTCAACATTCTTCCTTGACATAAACACCTTACTTCTGAAAAGTAAATAATGTCACATAGTCAGCACCAACCCTTTTAAGGAATTTCTAGAACTAGCCATGACTTAATCCCTTTGCTCTTCTGAAATTCACAGTCTTGACAACTATATGATGTTTTGCATCTATTTTTAACACTTCTGTGCACAAATTTTCTTGATGTACTATACAATGATACATCACTAAATGAGCACTGGACAGCAGTTGCATTATGATTGTTCTAGCTTGTTTCTCCATTGCTATGACAAAATACTCTGACTAATATCAACTTGAGGAGGAAAGGGTTTATTCAGCTGGCATTTCCTGGGTCACAGTTCATCACTGAGGGAGCCCAAGGTAGGAACTCAGGGCAGGAACCTGGAGGCAGGAGCTGGAGCACAGGCCATGGAGGAACACTGCTTACTGGCTTTCTCCCCAGCCCTGCTCAGCCTGCTTTTTTATGCAACACAGGCCCTCCTGCCCAGGGATGGCACCACCCACAGTGGGCTGGGCCCTCCCACATCACTGAACAATCAAGAAAATGCCCCACAGACGTGGCCACAGGCCACTCCTATGGAGGCAATTCCCCAACTGAGGCTCCCTCAACCCAGCTGTGTCAAGTTGACAGTTATGACACAATCCTTGACACACACCAAACCTGGCAACATGTTTTTACATATAATAATCTTTCAAATTATTATCTTTGAAAACTTTCACAAATCTCCCATGTATTAAGTGCCTTATCGTTTGCCTCAACAAAAAAGTAGTCATCCATCCACTTTTCACTGAACAATCTTTTATTATGTGTTTGAGAGGTTTTATTTTCTTTACAGATATTCTAGAAGCCATTTGGTATTTCTTGAAAAATAATAAAAGGCTATATTTACTTTAATTGACAGGAAAATAGACAGCAAAGTTTGAACCCTTCCACATCTCAGCTGCTGAGGCAGCATGGAATGGTGGTCGATCAGTGAGATTCGACTGAACTACAGATGTACCCTAAATAAATAAAAATACCTGTTCTCTAAATGACAATAAATACTTACATTTTTCAATGGATGGTTAAATTACTACTGAGAATCATTGTGTTTCATTAGCCAAGTCCACACAAGCACATGTCATGTCTGATGGTAACAATTTGACTGTCTGCACTTGGAAGACAACACACTAAAAGCCACACACCACTGTAAAACTGAAGCCACGCATGCGTAAAAACAGAGAGCATACACATTTACATTACAATACAAGACTGTCATTTATGAAGTTCACACTCATGAGCTGTGAGATCTAGTCATCAAAAATTAGAAAAAATAGCAGGAAGCAGTGGTGCACGCCTTTAATCCCGGCGCTCAGGAGACAGAGGCAGGTGGATCTCTGTGAGACTGATGGCAGCCTGCTCTACTTATTGAGTTCCAGGCCAGCTAGGGCTACGTGGAGATCTGGTCTCAAAAACAATTCACAAAAATATCTTATAATGTTTTAAGCATGTTTACAATTTTGTGTTGGACCACGTGCATAGATATCCTGGGGTGTAAAGAGCTCATAGGCTATGAGTGGGACAATCCTTGTTCACAGACTCCTAGAAGAAGCTACTGCCACACACTGCTTAGTCGGTACTGTGTGTTCCAGTCCCTCTCACCAACCTTCTAAACACCTTTCCAATTTCAGTGACAAAAGAGAGGTTCCAGTCACTTATCTAACTTATGCTAAGACATTTGTGTTCCTTCTTGTGCTAAATGATGTCATGATATAATACAGCTTTTCTCATTTGCAGAATAGAATGTGATATAGAGTGAATGAGGTAGGAGGCTAGATGCATAAGGATATATGTGTGTAACACACATGTACACACATGTATATACACACACACGCATGTGCTCACACACACAAACCTACACCTGAAGGATTGGGAAACTGATTATAAGGAAGAACTCTCTTGGACTCAAAATCAAATTGAGTATATTAAATGTTTATGTATATATATGCATACATACAAACATGTAAGTATAAAGTCTCTTTCACTGATCTTCAAAGCCTTAGGATATATAAAACTATGAACAAATTAGTTTCATATAAGAAATTTGGTTCACAGAAACCTGTAATTTACATTCAAAACTTATCAAAGGTGGGGCTGGAGACATGGCTAGGCAGTTAAGAGAATTTGATGCTCTTACAGAAAACCAGAGTTCTGTTCCCAGCGTTCACATCAGGTACCTCACAACCAACCACCTGGAATCCAGCTCTAAGGGATCCAATGCCAACTTCTTGTCTCTGTGGGCACCTGAACGCATATGCACACGCTCATATGCAGACATACAAACATTCACACAAATAAAAACAAAGGAGTCTAAGATTTATGAAAGCTAAGCTCAAAGACACCAGATAAGACCTATTGCTAAAGATTAGTATATGACAAGGCATTCATTGAACTAATACAGCATTAACAATTAAGGTTAAACAATTTAAGAAACATGAACATATTCATAGTCATCAGAACACAATCTATAAGGAGTACAGAAAAATTATAAGGGAAACATTTATATATATGTATATATTTTACAATATACATCTTAATAATTTTTATACTGAATGAAGTTTTAAAAACAGGGGAAACACCATGATCAGGAAGGTGGTTTTCCCAGGGCGAGGCTCATCCTTTGCACTTTGGGATGTGCTGACCACCAGGATTTCCCCAAATGTGGGAAACTCGACTGCATAATTTGTGGTAATGGGGGACTGTGTTCGTGCTCTCACCTGCTTTTCTATGTTTAAAGATATGCTCTGGGGGCTGAAGAGATGGCTCAGTGGTTAAGAACACTGGTTGTTCTTGCAGAAGGCCCGGGTTCAAATCCCAGCACCCACATGGCAGCTAACAACTATTCGTTACCCCAGTTCCAGGGGACCAGACAGCCCCTTCTGCTCTCCGTGGGCATTGCACGATAAGGGTGCACTTACCTACATGCAGGCAATACATGCATACACATAAAATAAAAATAACAAAACAGGTTCTGATTCTTGGTCTAGACTTCTGCTCACACTCTCTATATATAAATGTTGATGTGGACATAAAAATTGTTTACCCTAGTGACAATTTATCTTTCTCCCATCATCCAGTTTTCTCTGTGTAACATGAACCTAAGATAGACTTTGCTGCTTAGTGTTATTAATCTTTTAACTAAATCATTCACAAATTAGGCAATCCTCTGTCATTCCTAGTGTTTCAATTAGATTTTAGCTATAAGAAACAGAATATCTTGCCATAACTTGCTGAACTATTTAGCATTTTTTTTTCATCTAAGAAATTGTGTGGTTAGGGAAATAGAATAGAGGGACCATAGTTAAACCTACACTGTTATAGCCTTTTCTACAAAGGTTCTGAAAACATACATTGAAAAAAAAAGCCTCTTCAGCAAGTGATGGTTGAGAAACTGAATACCCACATGTAAAACACTGAAACTAGATCCCTCTATCTCTCCCTGCATAAAATAGATCAAATATTGTAATATAAGACCTGAAACTTTGAAACTATGAGGAGAAAACACTTCAAAATATAAGCATAGTCAAGGAATTCTTTCTGAAATGACCCTAATAGCTCAGGAAATAATGCCAAGAATTGACTAATGGAATTGCATGAAATTAAAGAGTTCCTATGCAGCAAATGAAATAATAGAGTCAAGAGATGACGTGCAGAATAGGGGATATATTTCCTAATTATATATGATTAGGAGTCAAAAAAAACCTAAATACCAAAAACCCAGCAACTCGATCAACAAATGGGCTAATGAAATGAACAGTTCACAAAATATGAAGTACAACCAGTCAGTGAACATATGAAAATGTTCACTATGCTTAGCCACCACGGAAGTACCATCAAGATCTCACCTCAGTCGGAATGGCTATTATAAAGAAAATAACAAAAGTTGGCAGGTATGTGAGGGAATGAGAACCTTGGTATACTTATGGGGGGCTGTAAATGAGTCCAGCCAGCATGGAAATTGTGGATATCCCCTGAAAACTGAGAACTATAATGTGACCCAGCTGTACCACTTCTGAATATATAACCAAAGAATTCTGTCAACAGGTAGCAGAGATATCTGCACATCTACATGTATTGCTGCACTATTCATAATATTCAAGTTAGAGGAAAGCCTAGATGTTCATCAAAATATGAATGAAGAAAATGTAGTCTATGTACACAATGGAGTTTTATTCAGCCATAAAGAAGAACGAAATTATATCATTTGCTGGAAAACGGATGCAACTTGAGATCATCACATTGTGGCATAAGCCAAACTCAAAGATATTACAAGTTCTCTTTCATTTATGGATCCTAGATTGATTCATATATCATCAACCATATATGTGCATATATGTCTATATGTGTGTGAGAGAGAGGGAAGAGAGGGGGAAAAAGGGGATACTGGGGAAGAAGGAGACTACTGGGAAAGGAAGAAGAGTCAAAAAAAAAGAAAAGGGTCAAATATGCTCAAATTATAATATATGGATCTACTTGAAAGGAATTGTCTTTATGAATTTTGCACTGTACATAATGAATGCATGCCAATAAAAAATTTTAAGCAATCTGAGATTAGTTAGATAGATCCAAGGTTGTTTTTTCAGTTCCTTAAACGACAGCATGGAGAGCTGAGACTCATTCTGCTTTTCTTTAATAGATTCTTCAGGGTGTGAGTTTGTCTATCTGTACTGCATCATAAACAAAGTAACGCCCAGTATAAAGTCTTCTCTTTTTCTGTGTCTCCTTCTAATTATGATAAAAATTTTCCTTAAGTCTCCCAGTAGTTTCCCATCCATGGTTCCTTCATCAGAACTGCATTACACGTACGGCTGGCAGGAAGAATGGGATTGCCATGATTTGATTAGGAAAACACATGGCCCTCTGAAAGAGGCTAAATCGTCCAAATAAAAATCTATGTTCTGTTGGAAAGTCAGAAGAAGGGAGATGTGGCTGATGTGATTGGTCAGTAATGCAAACTCAGTACTGCAACAGAGATTAGGGGTTAGAAAATAGCCACCAGGTAAAAGTACCCCCACCATCTCACAGGGTTAATTTGAAAGTGTGTAACTAATTTTCAGTGAGTAAGATACCACTGGGAGAGTCTGTGACCATACAATGTAAATATTTGCAGTCTGCCGATATAAAACAATAGAAACATAGTTATAGAGCTCAAGATCCAATCACAATCTGAGAAAAGCTTGTAGAAGTTGGGGAAAATACCTTTTAGGTGAGAAATATCTATCGTATGATTCAGGCTGATGGAATTTTCAGCCTTCACCCAGGATGTAGCCAACTTTCTCATGAATAAGATCAGTTCCAAGTAATATAATTGGTAGCCAAATAGAACCTGCAATCCTGCTTTGTCCATCTGTCAGCTTACTCTAAATACATGTCAATAATCTTCCATTAGCTTCCACATTCCTCTCATATTTTATCGTATTGATGGCTTTTTTTGTTCATAAGTCTCTATTTACTGTAATTTCTACTTTTTGCTCTTGTCACTACTAACCGACACTTGCCCTCGCAGAAGACACTGTAGGAAATGGTCAGCACATCTTCTACCTACAGGACCAGCTGCTTCTCCTTGAAGCTGACTAGTGCCTGTTGGAACATGGGCTCAGTAAGATTTTCCAGTTTTTTAAGCGAAATCTGGAGATGTTTGTAGAAAGTTCACAACTTGTCAGTGTGGGAAACTACCGGGTATTGATTTGATAAGTGTGTGCATTTTGAGAAAACTCTGAGCGCTACACTTTGATCTGTACACTACTAAAGTATAATATATACTTTGAAACAGTTTACTGTGCCACTCATCAAAGAAGCTTCTTTTTGGAACAGATGGAGGCTGCTGCAGAATTCCACACCTGGTCACACACAGAGAATCTATGTCTGATAGATGCCCAGTCCTAGGTGACATATTTACAGTGGAACCTCTATACCTAAGGCTCGTGGAACGTAGCAGAATAGGGGTTGGGAGGGGGGAGAAAGCTAAGGCATCCCTCAGTTCTCACCAATGATCCTTCCTTATACAACAGAGTGTGATGCACACAGAAGGCCACAACTAGCCAAGTTTTAGAGAATAAGAGACTGCAGAGTGTATGTCCCTGGCTAGGATTTCTGTACTAAACCTCACCCAGCCGTGGCTCAGGGCCCATTGCAGAAGAGGGAGCAGAAAGATCTTAAGAGCCAGGGTCAGTCCATGAGCATAGGGAAATAGAGGCTTCCAGGCCACTGGAAATTTGCACATGTGAACTTGCATCAATGGTGATGATACCAGCACAAGACCCATACCAACTCAATCAGACAAGATCCCAGAGTGGAACAAGGGAAATTAATGGCAGGCTGGCCCTAACCAGGAACTGTTGGAGACTGATTAATAGTGAATGAGGAAATGTAGCCCTTACTCAACGATCTCTAGTAAGGCTGACTAGACTCGAGTGGATGAACTTACACCGAAGGACATCTGGGTACAAATGGATAGACTAAACATATATGGGCTAATGCATGAGGTTCAGGGAGGGGGAGGTTTGGATGATGGGGTGGGGTCTAAATTTGATTAAGAACTGCTGTATGAAATGTACAAAAGCTCAATAATTTTTTTTAGAAAAAACAAATAAAGTTAATTTTTTAAAGAATTTGGGCATGACATGGAGAGTAACAATGTGTGACTCACAGCTTGATATCAGTGTGCAGACAGAGGGACAACGTAGGTCTCGGGGACAAGAGGTCACTGGGTGCTAGACCACCAAAGTAACAATTGGGTTTGTCTGTTCTGTTCTCTCATCCCTTACTGTCACCTGCAATGTTTACAAGCAGGAGAAAGAAGCAAAAACTGGACAAGGAAAGTAAGCTGTTCACAGGACCCGTCACTGGTGGAAAAGGACAGACAATCCCTATTTCTTTTCTTATTACCTCAAGCAAAAAAGCAAACTTATTCCAAGTATAACCTTGGAAAGCTCATCTAAATTTTCTAAATGTCGGAGAAAACAGCTGAATTTTCTTTGTGTAATTTAAGATCCTGGCTTGGAAATTGACTGATACTTGTTAATACATATCAGGACGTCATGTATTCCAAAGATATTTATCTGGCTTTTCTGTTTAGCATGAGTAGCTTGGGGTAGGATTGGCTCTTAAAGGACTTTACAGCAAGTAGCTTTGTTGGAGCCCTGTCTCTTTTAAGAATTTTGCTGCTAAAATTGTGACAAAAGTTCTCTTTCTCACTTATTTTGGGGACAGATTTAAACATTTCTACAAATGGGAAACTGCCTACTTGTAGAATGTTTTAAAAAGTTATTATTTGAACAGAAAAAAAAACAAGACAGTTAAATATACACAAATACACATTTTGTGAGAAGCTGTGGAAATTCACAACATAGATGTGTTTCAATTAAACACAAATGGTCTGAATCAACATAAGCCTATTACAGTGGTGCCTTGCTGCCTTCTTGTTTTAAATAGGAAGACAAGAATTAACATTACATTTCACTAATGTTTCTACTTAGAACTGTAGCTTGGGAACTGTGCGATGGTTTTAACTTTTTATTAGTCATGTTAAGTTATACATATTTATAGGGTGCTAGGTGATGTTTGATATATGTGTACGTTCTATAATGTTCAAACCACTGTTGCCACTTACCTACTCAAATGTTTATCTCTTTCTGATAAATCATTTAAAACCCTTTCTTCCAGCATTTTTGAAATATACAGTGTTATCAAAGTTTTTAGTATACAGCCTGGACTCCAA